GAGGTTGAACTATAAAGGCTCTAGCTAGCTGTGCAACCTGTGATGAATGATTTCATGCCTCACTATTGTGAAAAATCCAAAGCAGAATTGGAGAGACGTTGTGGTATAGGGATTAGATAAGCGACGACTGGTGCGAAGCCTACTGGGTCGAAATTCTGGCCATTTCTTTGTCATTGGAAAAGTTATTTAACGTCGGCGTCTCAGTTCCCACAACTATTAAAATGGAGAGGATAATACCTACTTTATGCTCTTAAAAGGATTAAATAAGTTACCGTTAACATATGTAAAGGACTTAAAAGAGGACCTATGTGTTTGCTATTATGTTATCCATACAATATAGAGTAATCATTACCTAAGTTATAAAGAACTTAGGCAATGGAAGCCGGGCGTGGTGGCTCATGCCTGTAATACCAGCACTTTGGGAGCCCGAGGCGGGCGGATCACCGAAGAGTCCGAGACCAGCCTGACCAACATGGTGAAACCCCGTCTCTGCAAAGAATACAAAAATTAGCCATTTATTATACACGTGGAACTGTGCTAAGAGCGATGTGTTGTCTCTCTCTTTTTTTTTGAAACGGAATCTCGCTCTGTCGTCCAGGCTGGAGTGCAGTGACGCGATCTCGGCTCACCGCAACCTTCACCTCCTGGGTGCAAGCGATTCTCCTGCCTCAGCCACCTGAGTAACTGGGATTACAGGCGCCCTCCCACCACAACTGGCTAATTTTTTGTTTTTGTTTTGTTTTGTATTTTTAGTAGAGACCGGGTTTCCCCATGTTGGTCAGGGTGGTCTCGAACTCCTGACCTCGTGATCCGCGCGCTTACGGCCTCCCACAATCCTGGGATTACAAGCCGTCAACCACTGCGCCCGTTCGTTTTATCTCATTTAATCCTCACAACAGTCTTATGGAGTGAGTGCTGCTGTCATCTTTGTTTTTCAGATGAGAAAACAAGCTCAGAATGGTGAAATGACTTGTCCAAGGTTACAGGCCAGTGGAGGTTTGAACCCAGGTATTTGTAATTCCAAATGTCGTACTCTGTCCATACTCATTCCTTGTAACATGCCTCGGCTGTCACAGCTGGTCTCGGGCTAGCAGCTCCCCGTGGGCCAGACAGGCGTATCCCTGCCCACCACCCAGCCAATCGCGCCAGCCCGATCCTACCCTTGTGGCTACGCCCACTGTCCCGCGCCTTCCCCTCGGGTGGGCCACGCCCACAGCCCGGAGCCAGGTGCCTCCGTCTTCCGGGCTCTGGCCCCGCCTCGCCCCGCCCCCACCCCGCCCACCGGCCTCGCAGTCGCCGCGGACGCCGATTTTGTGCATGGAGTCGCCATTTTGCTCCTAGAGACGCTGCCAGGAGACCCTGCGCTTTTTTCCTTCTGCAGCCGAGGCTGCGGCTGGGCCGGGGCTGGGGTCGGGGCCAGGTAGGCGGGCGGGAGCCAGTGGAGAGTGGGGGCGAGGGCTGGCTGGCTCCAGCATTGCGGGGCGCAGGTGCACGGAGCGGGGAGCCCGCGGCGTCGGCCGGTGGACGGGTCGGGGTCCTGGGGTGGTGGCTCTCTGAGGGCTCACGGGGTCGACTTCGCACTCGCGGCCCTTCCATCCCTCCCTCCCTTCCTTCTCTCCCATCAGGGGTCGGCCGGGGCCGGGGTCGGGCGTCCGGCGCCTGGGCTCTCTGGGCTCCCTGAGGCGCTGCTAGGGAGTCGAGCCCTGATGATGGGACCTGAGGTGGCAGCTCTGAAAGCAAGCCCAACCAGCCATTCTCCATCCCTAACCTGACACGGAGCCCCTGACTTGATTTACTTGGCTCTTTGTTAGTCACGGATATTTCTGTCACCCCCTAACGGATGATTTTATCCAACTCAGAACTAACCCCAGCAGAGGTTGAGGGGGAACCGTGATGAAATTTTTAAGTATTCTGCTTGATGATAATAATTTTTTTCTTTTGTTAATATTGGCCCCATTTGGGTGTTTAGCTTTTGAAAGGGTTATGAAAATGCGGACTGGGGCTTTGGGGCATGACGAAGTGGGATCTCTAGTGTTTAAAAAATTTAATTGCACAGGCCGGGCGTGGTGGCTCACGCCTGTAGTCCAAGCACTTTGGAGGCCAAGGCGGGCAGATCACCTGAGGTAGGGAGTTCTAGACCAGCCTGACCAACATGGTGAAACCCCGTCTTAAAAAAAAAAAAAAAAAATTTAATTGCACAAATAGAAATAATTCACCCACATTATTGAACCCCACAAAAGCAAACCCTTCTTGTCCATATTCCTTTCCTGCTGCCCTGGTGTGTACCATTATTAACTGTGATTTGAGCTTGTTACATTTGGTCATTCGTAGGTACTTGCAGAGTGTTGAATATTTATTGAATTTCTATCCTGTGTTTTACTTAATTACTTTATTACGGAACCTTTACACCGGTCTGGTGTACTTGCTTTTTAAAAAGTCTTGTGTTGACCATTATCATTGAGCATGTAGTTTTTTCCTTATTTCCTTGGGATAATTACCAGATGTGGAAATACCGAATCAAACTTCTATGTTCTTTCTTTGGCACTTTATATAATTTTCCAAACAAGGCATGTTTACAATAGACATTTTTCAAAATCTGGGTATTTGTCCGATTCTGCTATCTGTATGCAGAACTCTCAGCAGGATGCCAAGTCATTTTCTGTGTGGGTGAGAGACAGGCTGTGCAGCCTACTGTTGTATGCGACTAACTACTACAAATCATGCTGAGACAGCTATTTCTGCTGTTTAGAGGTTTTGCAGCCTTGAGTAAGTTTCTTCATCTAGAAACCTAGTTTCCCCTTTCTAAAATGGGTCTCATTCTAGTACTGGCTTCACTGGGTTGTCATAAGCATTGTGAATACTTCAGATAATGTTAGGCATGAGTTAACATTCTGTTGGAGAAATAAGCAGAGCCTGGGATCAGAGAGGAGTGGAAGAGTAATTCGATTTAGAATTTGCCCTTCAAATTCTCATCAATATTGATATTAAAACAAATTTTCTTGGAGTGAGGCACATCACTAATAAACATAAGTTTTTGTACTTTTTTTTTTTTTTGAGATGGAGTCTTCCTCTGTTGCCCAGGCTGAAGTGCACTGGCGCGATCTTGGCTCACGGCAACCTCTGCCTCCCAGGTTTAAGTGATTCTCCTGCTTCAGCCTCCTGAGTAGCTGGGGTTATAGGTGCATGCCGCCACACCCGGCTAATTTTTGTATTTTTTAGTAGAGATGGGGTTTCATCATGTTGGCCAGGCTGGTCTCGAACTCCTGACCTCAGGTGATCTGCTCTCCTTGGCCTCCTAAAGTGTTGAGATTACAGGCGTGAGCCACCGCACCCAGCCAGTTTTTATACTTCATGATGCCTTTTAGTTTATCTTTCAATTTCATTTGTGAATCACTGTGACTCATTGGGGTCAGGCATTATTCGGCAATCATTTGTTTAGCCCCTATCATGTGCCAGCTGCTGTTGTGGACACAGGGTATACAGCAGAGAATATCATGGTAAAAACAAAACAAAACAAAAAAACAACTCTGCTGCCTGTACCTTAAATTCTGGTAGGGAAAGCTTTTTACCAAGCTTATGTCTCTGCTATCTGGAGGGTAATGGCTGAGGCCCAGCAAGGACAAGTGATGTGCAGAAAGCCTAGTAACTGGAAGGCAAACCCGACTCTTCACACTCCTACTTCAGCCATCTTTAAGTAGGTGTTTTACACAGTAGACACTTTAGAGGGAAGACAACACACTTCAATGTGAGCCTTCCTCATCTGAAATGTGGGTGAGTGGTTTTGAAATGATTGCTAGTCTGTCCAAAGGAAATGATCTCTCATTGTGGTTTCTTCATTCATGAGAATTAACAGATTATCAAATCTAATTCAAAAGAGGAGTGTGATTTGCTCTTTACAAAGTGCTAAGATTCTCTGAAAACGATGTTTTCATAAATGTTATAAATAATTCTCACACATTCTAGAGTAAATTTAGAATAAACATAAAGCAATTATAGCTCATGGGGAAAATAAGGGAGTGTTCACATTTCACACTAAAACCTTATGCTAACAAGCCTCCTGCTGGCCCCATCTTGATGATTATCATGTTTTTGAGGATAATCTTTACAACTCTTTTCTTGAAGCTTGGTAAAGAACACAGCCTTGATTACCAACAGGAGAAAGGATAACTAAAACCAGAAACCGCCCTTATGTTTGAACAACTTGTGAAATGAATAGGCACAAAACATGACTATATTGATAGTCATTTCCAAGTGGATGCTCCTCAATCCACCCCACCAATGTTATGTTGAGGGTGATCTTAGGTTAGGATTCTGTATAGAGGTCTGATCTGAAGCCTGGAACGTCAGAGTTCATATTCAGGGTGATGCAGGACATTTAAACCATAAGAGATAAGGAAAGACTTCAGGAAATATCCTGGAAAAAATATACAAAGGCAGGAGAGCTATCTTGAAATAGTTTGGAGGCTGTCCTATGGAAATGGAATTTGATGTTTCCCGAAAAGTGGGCAGAGGCTGCAGGGACAGGAATCTCAGCATGTTTTTTTAGAGACAGAGTCCTGCTCTGTCACCCAGAGTGAAATGCAGCGGTGCTATCTCCACTCACTGCCACCTCCACCTCCCAGGTTCAAGCGATTCTCCTGCCTCAGTCTCCCAAGTAGCTGTACAGGCATGAGCCACCAGGCCTGGCTAATTTTTGCATTTTTAGTAGAAATGGGGTTTCACCATGTTGGCCAGGCTGGTCTCGAACATCTGACCTCAGATTATCCGCCAGCCTCCCCCTCCCAAAGTGCTGGGATTACCGGTGTGAACCACTGTGCCCGGCCATAGCATGTTCTAAGAAAGAATTTGGAATGATGGGTCCTTAGCAGAGGAGGGCATCAGACCCTGGGGCTGTTCAAGCTTCTGTTGAGTGGTTCCTTGGCAGGATTCCTGCAGATTGGCTTTGAACAAAAGATTAAGGAGGGATGGGCTGAATTATCTCTAAGATCTCTTCCTACCTCTAAAATACTTTCATTCTAAGTGTTCCAACTCCTCTCAAGAAGCTGCTGATTTTTTTTTTTTTTTTTTTTTTTTTTTTTTTTTTTTTTTTTTTTTTTTTTTTTTTTTTTTTTTTTTTTTTTTTTAAGATGGGGTTTTACCATGATGGCCAGGCTGGTCTTGNTTTTTAAGATGGGGTTTTACCATGATGGCCAGGCTGGTCTTGAACTCCTGACCTCAGGTGATCCACCCACCTCGGCCTCCCAAAGTGCTAGGATTTACAGGTGTGAGCCACCGCACCCAGCCGAACGCTGCTGTACTTTAAGGAGCTTCTTCTTTGAAGGTTAGGGGCTGTAAAAAACATGCCTCTCCCCCATGCCTATTACTGTATGGTAGATAATCAAGATATTAGAAGTCGATTCATAGGTAGCACGTCCGATATGCAGGGCACTGTGTTAAGTGCCTTGCAGAAATCGACCACCTGTGGGGTCAGTTTTTGCAGTTGTGTGGATGATATTGAGGCTACGAGATTTTAAGTATTAGATAATTTATGTAAGTCCTCACTGTGAGTTTAGGGGAAGTAGTTCAAGTTGCAAACATGAGTTTGGCTCTAAATCCTGTATTTACAACTGCAAGAAAATTAGTTTGTTTTTGTTTCCTTTCCTGGACCTGTAACACCCTATTTGTTTATTTATTTATTTCTGAGATAAGATCTCACTCCCATCGTCTAGGCAGGAGTGCAGTGAAATGGTGCAATCATGGTTCATTGCAGTCCCGACTACTGGACTCAATGATCCTGCCGCTTCATTTTTTGCTTTTTTAATAGAGACTAGGTCTTACTGTGTAGCCAAGGGGATCTCAAACTCCTGGACTAGAGCAATTGGCCCACCTTGGCCTCCCAAAGTGCTGGGATTAGTGGTGTGAGGCACTGTGTCTGGCCAGACCTTTTGCTTTTAAACACAGATGTTTTTGGTTGAGAGACGGGGCTGAGAGATAGCTTTAGAAATCATTTAAGATCCCTTCTAGAATGTTGATAATTAAATGTATTCTTTCTTTCATTTATACCAGCCACTCTTCTTGTAGCCTTTGCAGATGCTACATTATCTTGTAAAAGGTGTTAGCAAACTTTTTCTGTAAAGGACCAGATAATATTTCAGGCTTTGTGGTTGAAACTCAGTGCTACTGTTGTTATCTAGAAACAATTTGTAAACAAATAAGTGTGGCTGTGTTCCAGCCTGTGTTACAGAAATAGGCTTTCAAGGGACCTGATTTGGCCTGTAGGCTGTAATTCGCTGATCCCTGCCCCAAAGCCACTTCCATAGTAGATGCCAGTGGTCCACCTTGGTCACTTTAGGGCTTTGGTTAGTTGTGTATACATTTCTCTTTGTAACTCGTAGGCAAATTTAAGGTAAATTGCATTGTAGTCTGCCATATTTCCCATTGCAGATTCCTGGATTGTGCCAGCTGGAATGCCTCTGCAGGAAGTGCTAGTGGGACTGTGAAATTGTACCACCTGTGGCCTGGCAGTCTCACTGCACTCGTGCACAGGGAGGCCCCTTCAGATCTGGCTAAAAGTGGCATATCTATGCTATGGAAGACTAGGCGGCAGTTAGAGCAAAATAGGTCTCTATTATAATATCTTCTTGTGTTTTTGTTGTTGTCGTTTGTTTGTTTGTTTTGGATACCGGGTCTCAGTCTGTCCCCTAGGCTGGAGTGCAGTGGTGTGAACACAGCTCTCTGCAGCTTTGGCCTCCTGGGCTCAAGTGATTCTCCCACTTCAGCCTCCCAAGTAGGTGAGATTATAGGCATGCACTACCATACTTGGCTAATTTTAAAATTTTTTATAGAGGTGGTAACATCTCACCACATTACCCAGGCTGGTTGCAAACTCCTGGGCTCAGGCGGTCCTCTGGCCTCCCAAAGTGCTGGGATTACAGGCATGAGCCACTGTGCCTGACCAAGTCTATATCTTCTAACCCAGATTGCCAAAAGAGACTGCCGGGTGAAAAGCAAATTATAGATACATTTACACAATGACATCTTTTTGTGTTTGAAATATTATATATACATATATATATTTTTATATACACATATTTTAAAAATTAATTTTTAAATTATTATTTTTTAAGAGACGGGGTCTTGCTATGTTGCCCAGGCTGGAGTGCAGTGGCTATTCACAGGCACAATCTCACTACTGATCAGCACGGGAGTTTTGACCTGCTCCGTTTCTAACCTGGGCTGGTTCACCCCTCCTTAGGCAACTTGGTGGTCCCCTGCTCCCAGGAGGTCACCATATTTATACCAAACTTAGTGTGGACACCCAATCGGTGTAGCGCACTACAGTCCAGAACTCCTGGGCTCAAGCGATCCTCCCACCTCAGCCTCCCAAGTAGCTGGGGCCACAGGACTACAGGCACACGCCACCGCGCCGGCAAATTAATTTTTTTTTCTGAGACAGAGTCTCACTCTGTCACCGAGGCTGGAGTGCAGTGGCGTGATCTTGGCTCAGTGCAACCTCCAATTCCTGGATTCAAGCGATTCTCCTGTCTCAGCCTCCCAAGTAGCTGGGATTACAGGGGTGTACCACCACACCTGGCTAATTTTTTGTATTTTTGGTAGAGACAGGGTTTCACCATGTTGGCCAGGCTGGTCTTGAACTCTTGACCTCAAGTGATCTAACCACCTTGACCTCCCGAAGTGCTGGGATTACACATGTGAACCACTGCACCTAGCCATTTTTTTTTTTTAAGATAGAGTTTTGCTCTTGTCGCCCAGGCTGGAGTGCAGTGGTGCCATCTTGGCTCACTGCAACCTCTGCCTCCCAGGTTCAAGTGATTCTCCTGCCTCAGCTTCCTGAGTAGCTGGGATTACAGGAATGCGCCATCATGCCTGGCTAATTTTTTTATATTTTTAGTAGAGATGAGATTTTGCCATGTTGGTCAGGCTGGTCTTGAACTCCTGTTCTCAAGTGATCCGCCTGCATCAGCCTCCCAAAGTGTTAGGATTACAGGCATGAGCCACTGTGGCTGGCCATATATATTTTTTATGGAGGTCACGTGTATAAATGCATAGAAAATGTCTGATGTTGTCCCTACCAAACTGATAAGAACCCTCACTTCTGGGGAGAACCTGGGATCGAGGCTGGTTACTTTAGCCTTAACTATCATGTTTTAGGTTTTTATAGGGAGGATGTGTTTGTGTTTTACTTGTATAATTAAAATTTGAGAGTAATGAAAAAGATTAGGTTGGTTTCAGCCCATTGATGATCTCTACCAGCCTTTCCAGAGGTCCCAAGTGAATATACAACTGTGGAAATGCAGTGGGCTTGCTGAGAAAGGGTTCCCTTGCCCACAGCCTGCTGGATTGTTGCTGTTCCTCCCATCTAGCACCTCCATTATGTGATGAGCACACTCAGCACTGATGACTTCTAAGACAGGGTCCTTTTTATTTGTGGCCCACTGCCTGTCATTTGGGTGGTCACTTATGTTTCCTTCAAGTTGATTATGTATCAGCCTGTATTCTACTTGAGGAAAATGAAGATGACTAGGTCAGTTTTAGACATGACACAGGGCAGCTGAAAGGCCGGGAAAGGTTTTATGGTAAACAAGAATTACAGGAAAAGTTGGATGTAGATGGGTTATTTATTCTTTAAGGATTAATCAGTCCTTGTTCTTGCTAATGGCTCTGCCATTTTTCTGTGTGTTAATCCAGGAGGAATTTTGTTGTCAGAGAATAAAAGGAGGTTGTCCATAATTGACTTTAAGCAGCAATCAGTAAAACATTGAGCTCTTCAGCTCCACCTTTCTTGTAAGTTTATCATTTCTTCTCAGTGGTTGTGAACATCATGTGATAATGTATTTCCATAAATTTGGAACCCTGAAATCCAAGTGAACTTTCTGTTTGTCCATATATATATTTCTAATATTTTAAAAACACTGTAAAGATGGAAACTAATTTCCTTTAGTTGAAATCATTTCCTTTAAAAAAAAAATCCATTCAGGTATATTTCATATCACATGACAGTTTTTTATATGTGTTATATCCTTCTAGGCTCTGAGAATTGGAATACCAAGAAGGTTTTGATGTTTTGTGTGACGCCACCTGAATTAGAAACCAAGATGAACATAACCAAAGGTGGTCTGGTGTTGTTTTCAGCAAACTCAAATTCATCATGTATGGAGCTCTCAAAGAAAATTGCAGAGTGAGTTATAATTATACCATGAAAATTTGTATTCATTATGCGATGCTTTAAAATTGATGATCAGATGAGCAGTGATTGCTAAACTTGAAAGCAGATTATTTTATAGTTCTGTGTGTATCTTGTTTTTTCATCATGCAGTATGTCTCATCTGCATATATTAAGGGCTATTCTTTTTATAAACTATCCCATCTCTCTACATATTCTTTCAGCAGACATTTATTGAGTGCCTCGTAAGTGCCAGGAATTTTGTTATCTGCTATATATGTATAAAATTATTTGAGTATAAAGAACACTGACTTGTATACTATATGAAATAAGTTATAGCTTATAGTTTAGTATAATTTTAGATATTTATTAAACAAATATTATGCCCCTACTGTGTACTAGACTTTGATCTAGATATTGGGGATTAACAGTGAGTCAAGATCCATCCTTTTTATGAAATTTACATTTAACTATGGGAGCCAAACAGAAATCAAGTCAACAAAACAAACAAGGTAATTTCAGATGATGATCAATGCTATGAAGAATACAATGTGAAAGTAATGATGGGGCAGGTTGTTCTGCTTTAGCCTGTGTGCTAAAGTGCCTTTAAACTGAGGGGATGGTATGTGAGTTGAGAAACCTGAATAAGCCACCAAGTAAAGGTCTGGAGGCAGAGCCCTCCAAGCAGAGGGGACAGCAGATTCCAAGGCCCTGCAACATGCAGGAGGAGTCCTTGGTGTGTCTCAGGAATGTGGGCTAGAGTACAGAGTGTCCAAAGAAGATGGCCAGTGAGGCAGGCACGGTGGGACTGCATAGTCCTTCCCGGGGAGATGTGGGGTTGAGGTGAGGGGGCGAGGTAATGGATTGACATAACAATTTAATATTGACTTTAAATTTATAAGAAGAATAACTTTATTTTCAGTTGGTAAATAGTATACATGTTTAATGTAAAAAAAAGAGAAAAGAATAACCTTATTTTACTTTTATCCATTTACAAGCCTCCTTAAATAGTAAAGAAACTGGGTTTCTCCTATTACCTTTTCAGCTTTTTCCCCCTTTTTCTTCTCTAGGCGACTGGGGGTGGAGATGGGCAAAGTGCAGGTTTACCAGGAACCTAACAGAGGTGAGCTATCTTGGGCATGTGAAACATTGACCTTTTTGTGGAATGTGGGTATTGGCTCAGTCCTTCATCCTTTACTATTGAAACGATTTGATTCAGTTGTACAGTTCTATTAGCAAGAAGTCAGGCAGGCAAGGTAGAATAGAGTGGTTTTTTTTAGCTCTCACCAATACCAGCTAGATATGTAACCCTGGTGCAAGTCATTTCTGCGGCTTGAACTCCAGTTCTGAGACCCCATTCGGTAAAAACTGCATACGTATTTGAACCAGCTAGTCAACTGAATGAACATGAGCTCAACCGTTGCTTGAATTTATGTCACCTTAGGCAGGATGAGTAAATCCTGTCACCTTAGACAGGATGAGTAAATCCTGTGTGACCACGGTTTTAGTTATTCTTTACCTACACCTAAGCTGCCTTGGGTTAGACTTCATAAAATATTGTTAAGAAATACTTTTTGCTAATTGATACATGTCATTACATAATCATCCCAAGTTATATTAAAAAAAAAAAAAAGTGTGTCATTTAATCTTTTTAGGGCCAGGTACAGTGGCTCATGCCTCTAATCCCAGCACTTTGTGAGGCTGAGGCAGGCAGATTGCTTGAGCTCAGGAGTTTGAGACCAGCCTGGGCAACATGGCAAAACCTGTCTCTACAAAAAATACAAAAATTAGCCAGGAGTGGTGGTGTGTAGTTGTAGTCCCAGCTACTGGGGAGGCTGAGGTAGGAGGAATGACTGAGCCCGGGAGGTGGAGGCTGCAGTGAGCTGTGATCACACCATTGTACTCCAGCCTGGGTGACAGAGGGAGACCCTGTCTCTAAATAAATAAATAGTAATCGTTATAATTTCTTTGGCAATGGTGGATATTTGAAATTATTTTAGCAGGAGCGATTTACAGCTTGCATGGGCTTGAGAGTTATATACCTTATCCTTGACAAGTTATTTTACCTTTCTTAACTATAAATAAACTATCAATTAGGGCCTTTTGAGGATTAAGTGGGATAATTTGTGTGCCTTACACAGTTTTTGGCACACAGTAGGTGCTTAATAAATACTTATTCCTGCTCCTTTTCCACTAGAAAATTAAAATTTTTTTTTTTTTGTAGAGCCCCAGGGTATTATGTTGCCTAGACTGGTCTCAAACTCATGGAGACAAGCAATTCTTTCATTTCAGCCACCCAAAGTGCTGAGATTACAGTTGTGAGCCACCAGGCCTGGCCCCCCTACAGGATTTTATCAAATATTTAAGTATTATAAAGCTTACAGGAGGCTTTGACAAAAAGAGAAAAGTTTTGCTTTTCCCATGTTTATCTCCATTACTGCCTCTTTCCTGTCTCCCAAGATCCCCTATGTGGCATCAGTAGGGAAAAAGTAAAATTAAAAAAAACTCATCAAGGATAGTTTGGAGAAGATTCTTTCCCTAGAGGGAATTGAATGATGTTTCTTGTCTGGAGTCTGAGAGGGAAGGTGAAAGGGAGAAGCGGTGGCATATGACTCCGGGAGGTTTACTCTCCAGGTTTCTGAATAAAGGGAGGGAGAATACTTGGTGTTTATTGGGAAGGAAGTAACATTTGTGGATTTCTTTCTTTTTTGAGATGGAGTTTTGTTCTTGTTGCCCAGGCTGGAGTGCAATGGTGTGATCTCGGTTCACCACAGCCTCCACCTCCTGGGTTCAAGTGATTCTCCTGCCTCAGCCTCCCGAGTAGTTGGAACTACAGGTATATGCCACCACACCTGGCTAATTTTGTATTTTTAGTAGAGATGGAGTTTCTCCACGTTGGTCAGGCTGGTCTTAAATTCCTGACCTCAGGTGATCTGCCCACCTTGGCCTCCCAAACTACTGAGATTACAGGTGTGAGCCACTGCGCCTGGCCAACAATTCTTTAATCATCTAATATCTGGCCTATATTCACATTTCCCTATTTGTCCTAAAGGGTCTTTTATTTATTTATTTTTTTTGAGATGGAGTCTGGCTTTGTTGCCCAGGCTGGAGTGCAGTGGCGCGATCTTGGCTTACTGCAACCTCTGCCTTCCAGGTTCAAGCAATTCTCCTGCCTCAGCCCTCTGAGTAGCTGGGATTACAGGTGTGCACCACCATGCCCAGCTAATGTTTGTTTTAGTAGAGACGAGGTTTCACCATGTTGGCCAGACTAGTATTGAACTCCTAACCTCAGATGATCCACCCACCTGGGCCTCCCAAAGTGCTGGGATTACAGGTGTGAGCCACTGCGACCGGCCTAAAGGGTCTTTTATAGTTGTTTCCATCCTCCCCACCAAACCCCAAACTAGGATTCTTAGTTCAAGGGATATTTTTTTTTAATTTCGCTTTAGGGGGCCGGGTGCAGTGGCTTACACCTGTAATCACAGCACTTTGGGAGGCCAAGGTGGGCAGATCACCTGGGGTCGGGAGTTCGAGACCAGCCTGACAAACATGGAGAAACCCTATCTCTACTAAAAATAGAAAATTAGCCAGGTATGGTCACGCATACCTATAACAGTCCCCTTACCTCTTTTTCTTCCTATGACAGTGACTTGTTGAAGAGGTTGTCTTGTAGAATGTCCTACTATGAACTTGTCTGTTTCCTTGTGGCTGATCACACATATTTTGAGAGTGGGGATATTGGGTCTTATTTATCTTTGCTCTCACAACATACAATGTTTTGTACCTAAGACATTCTCAATTGATGCTGATTGAATAAGTATATAATTTTCTATAACGATACTATCCTCAGAGTGGCATAGCACTCACTGTTCGTATATATAAGAAGAATTGTAAGTTTACTTATTTCGAGTCAGAAATATAATTCCCTCTTAAAGCTGTCATGTTTTAAAAGGTGTGATTAATGGCAGTATATTTATTATCCCTTGTAACATCTAAAGCCCTCTGAGTTTTATAACAGCTCCAGTTTGCATATTTTATTACATTAGGGAATGATGCAGATTTTTTGTGTATTTTGAAAAATTGGAACTATATGCCTTTCCCTCCCTTCTTTTTCCTTTTCCTGCCAGAAACAAGAGTACAAATTCAAGAGTCCGTGAGAGGAAAAGATGTTTTCATCATCCAAACCGTTTCAAAGTGAGTATCGAGCAGAAATGTTGCTTTCTGGGTTTCTGTTTAGGCATGAGTGTTTAAAATAATGATGGATGGCTAGCCAGGAAGAGTTATGATAGTCTTAAAATTAGTGTATCTTACCAATTTAGAATTTAGAAAACTAAGTTTTCTGACATAACTGCTGATTTTTACATGTTCTTTCAGTGTTATGATTTTGTTTTTTTTGTTTGTTTGTTATTGAGATGGGGTCTTGCTCTGTCACCCAGGATGGAGTGCAGTGGCACGATCTCAGTTTACTGCAGTCTCCATCTCCTGGGTTCAAGCAATTCTCCTGTCTCAGCCTCCCGAGTAGCTGGGACTACAGGTGCACACGGCCATGCCTGGTTAATTGTTTTGCATTTTAGCAAAGACAAGGGTTTCATTGTCTTGCCCAGGCTGGTCTCGAACTCCTGAGCTCAGGCAATTCACCTGCCTTGACCTTCCAAAGTGGTGGGATTACAGGCATGAGCCACTGCACCAGGCCCAGTGTTCTTAATGGGTGGAAATAACCAAGTATTGGAGTAGAGGTTCTTAATGATAATAGTTTCTATTTAGTTTCCTAACAATTAATAGCCAGAATTTTGTAAAACTTGAAGGGAAGCATTTCTAGTTCTCTCCTCTCCCCAAAAGAAACAGAGGCTAAGGGAGGAGAGGTTTCTTACTTGGGGTTCTTTAAGCTTTTATTGCATATGAAAGTGAGCATTCCTTATTGTTTTGTTGCATAAATTAAATTAGCTGGAAGGATAAAAGACTGTACTGAAGGAATGTGTATTCTTGTCTAGAGTGACCTTTGACATGCCTATGTTCTGGAAATTGTTTAGTTACATATGTGTAAGCTGGTGTGTAAGATTCAGTGCAGTGAAGCTGTCTCTGGCACTCTGGAAGGGAGGGTGATCTTTTTTTCTTTCTTTCTTTTTTTCTTTTTATTTTTTCTTAGAAGTAGGATCTTGCTGTATTGCCCAGGCTAGAGTACAATGGTGAGGTCATAGCTCACTGCAGCCTCAAACTCCTGGACCCAAACTATCCTCCTGCTTCAGCCTCCAAGTAGCTGGAGCTACAGGGATGCACCACCATGCTCACCTAATTTTTCATTTTTTGTAGAGGTGGAGGTTTCACTATGTTGCCCAGCTGGTCTCAAACTTTTGGCCTCAAGTGATTCTCCTGCCTGGACCTCCTATATTGCTATTGTAGCAATACAGGAGGTGAGCCTATTGCACCTAGCCTGAAAGTCCCACTTTCCGTTGTGCGTTTGTCCACAGATAACCCCAAAAGCTTCAGTGTATGAAGTTCTTTGCTCAGAACAATTTTTAAAGTCTAGAAATCAGTTTGTCTAGTGCATTATTTTTTAGCTTAGAGAGTCTGAAAGTTGCTGCATGCTTTATTTGTGTATGTGTATATATAATAAATACCAACAAAAGGGAAGAAGAGAGAAATTTCAGCTTGGAACACACATTTTTTTACCTAAATGTTGAGCATTTTCTGTCCTGGTCTTTGGTTCATTGGGATGAAGTCATAAAACCCCCATCTCTCCTTGGAAGAGGAGTGGCAAGGAGACCTGTCCTTGCATCCCGTTGACCTGGTAAACAGGTATGCTCTGAAGGAGGGAGGATGTGGGGTGCCTTTGCCACGGTACCCTGGCTTCATCTTCTGCTGTGACACCTGGGATTCTCAGCAGAGCTAGAGGTGGGGGCGCTGAGTGCTAACTGCCCCTGCTGCTGCCGCTCTCCTCTTTCCCAGGCCTGCCACCAAGCCAGGGTGCTAGTAGAGGACTCACCTGTGCCCACATCTTACCCTTCACCCCCAGCATTGAGGTAGGGAAGGTGCGGGCACAGAACAACTTACACTGCTTCTGGCTCCTTGGTATCTGTGGTACTTTTTTTTTTCTTTGAGACGGAGTTTCGCTCTTGTTGCCTAGGCTGGAGTGCAATGGTACGATCTCGGCTCATTGCAGCCTCTGCCTCCTGGTTCAGGTGATTCTCCTGCCTCAGTCTCCTGAGTAGCTGGGATTACAGGCTTGTGCCAGCACGCCCAGCTAATTTTGTATTTGTAGTAGAGATGGGATGTCCTCATGTTGGTCAGGCTGATCTCAAACTGACAACCTCAGGTGGTCTGCCTGCCTTGGCATCCCAAAGTACTGGGATTACAGGTGTGAGCCACCACGCCTGGCTGTCTATGGTACTTTTATCTCCTTAGAGACAAGTGTGATTCCACTGGATAAATACACAGAGGTCGTATGGATTACCCAAGGGGATGAATAGGCATTGAGAGCTCCCCTAGACTTAGAAGTTAGGACTTCAGAAGGGTGACTGCTGATCTATCTCATTTTTAAGTCCTTTTAGTTCTTTATTTTTGTACATTTCAACACTTATCCTGTGCCCTTGCCCTTTGTCAGTTTTGCATTCCTCTAATCAGAACCACTCAGCACCCCTTTCATTTTCTCTCTGTGTCTCATTTTGCATTGAGGTAAGCTTGTGTTAACTTGGGTTCATGTTTCAGAGTCTGGATGTCATGGTCTTCTTTGTGAAATACCATGAAATACCATTTAGTGTTGAGGCTCAGAGGCGGTGGCTCATGCCTGTAATCCTAGCACTTTGGGAGGTTGAAGTGGGCAGATCACTTGAGGCCAGGAGTTTGACACTAGCCAGGGCAACATGGTGAAACCCTGTCTCAACTAAAAATACAAAAAAATGGCCAGGCGCGGTGGCTCATGCCTGTAATCCCAGCACTTTGGGAGGCCGAGGTGGGTGGATCACGAGGTCAGTAGTTCAAGACCAGCCTGGCCAACATGGTGAAACCCTGTCTTTAATAAAGATACAAAAAATTAGCTGGGTATGGTGGCACATGCCTGTAATCTCAGCTACTCAGGAGGCTGGGGCAGGAGAATTGCTTGAACATCTGTGTGGCAGATGTTGCAGTGAGCCAAGATTGTGCCACTGTACTCCTGCCTGGGCAACAGAGTGAGACTCTATCTAAAAAAAAAAAAAAAAAAAAATTAGCTGGCCATGGTTTTGAGTGCCTGTAGTCTCAGCTACTCAGGTGGCTAACGCATGAGAATTGCTTGAACTGGGGAGGCAGAGGTTGTAGTGAGCTGAGATTGTGCCACTGCATTCCAGCCTGGGTAACAGAGCAAGACTCCATCTTTAAAAAAAAAAAAAAAATCAGGAGCAGTGGCTTATGCCTGTAATCCCAGCACTTTGGGAGGCCGAGGTGGGCAGATCACGAGGTCAGGAGTTGGAGACCAGCCTGGCCAACATGGCGAAACCCTGTCTCTACTGAAGATACAAAAATTAGCCAGGTGTGGTGCGCGCCTGTAATCCCAGCTACTTGGTGGGGGCTGAGGTATGAGAATTGCTTGAACACACGAGGCAAAGGTTGCAGTGAGCTGAGGTCGCACTACTGCACTCCAGCCTGGGTGACAGAGTAAGACTCCATCTCAAAAAAAAAAAAGATTTAGGGTTGTCAGATACATCTTTTACTTCCTCTTCCTCCATATTAGTGGTAGTGCCAAAAACAAAAGAGAAATTTAGAATTAAAAAAATTCCATCCATTAACTGAAGTTTTCCTATAATTCAAACAAGGCTTTCCTTATTTGAGTTCAGTCATGGAATGCCTTGTTCCAGCTAACAGAACAATGGTGCTCCTGGGAGTGTGGTTTGGGAGTGTTGGGGTGACTTCATTTCTATGTCAGTTTCTCTACTCTTATCCTTCCCATAGAATACTTTTCTGAAATTCTTTTTTTTCTAAGTGAATTAACACAGGATGAAAGTCTTTTAACTCATCAGATGTCAGACTTGTTGTTGGATAGAGACGGAGAACCTACTTACTCAAATGTTCTGTGTTCCCATTCATTTCTTCATTCATTAAGAAATATTTATTTTGAATGTCTACAATATGGGAGTTACAGTTAGTTACACATGAGCAAGATAGCTTCATGATTAAAACAGAAAGATCCTTGTCCTGGTGGAGTTTTATATTCCAGTGAAGGAGAACATACAGTGAGCGTAATAAATAGATTATCTAGAAGGCGATGAGTACTTTGGGAAAAAAATAAGACAAAATGGTAGGATGACGGTGGTGAAAGGGCAGAGAGAGGCAGACAGGGTAGGCCACAGAGAAGGTGAGGGAGACAGCCAGGTGACTAGGTGGGGAGGAAAGCCTTGCAGGCAGTGGGAACACCTAGAGCAAGGCCCTCAGTGGTGTGAGCTGCCTGTGGGAGGACTGACCAGGGTCCGGTGTGGCCGGACAGAATGGCGGGTCGGGGGGATCCTCAAGTTTGGACTGGAGTTGTAAATTTGAGAGTTGCCACCATCTATGAAGCTGCAAAATTAGATGAGAAGCCCAAAGGAAGAGAGGAAACAGAAGGAGAGTAGACATGAGCAAGTCCTGGGATATGAGATTGGGGAGAAGAAGAATCAGCAAAAGAAACCAAAGGTGAAAGGAGGAGATTAGAGGGGCATTCTGGAAGCCAAGTGACCGTGGATGTAGATGTGGCTGCATGGAGGCCACTGATGACCTTAATGAAAACAAAGCTTCACTGAACTATTTGGGAGGGAATGAGAGTAGATAAATTGGAGATAGTATAGACAGCTTTCTTGAGATGGACAACAAAGGGGAGCAGAGGGAAGAGTGGTTATGAGTCACGTTAATGGAAGTAACAGAATGTTTGTGGCCGATGGGTAATCAGTGCTGGAGGCAGGAAAGGGGAGAGAATTGCTGACATAGGTGTGCCATTTGGAGGGATTAATTTTAGGGCAACTGGCGTGGAAATTTTCTCTGATGACTGATGGCAGGCCGACTCCTGGGGCACAGATGCACGTAGTGGGAGCTTGTGGAGACGCTCCTCGGATGGAGTACTTATGTAGGTCGTCAGTTGAGAGCGGGTGGTGGGGGACCTTATGGAGGCCTGAGAAAAGAGAAATTTGTTGGTTGTTTTGTTCTGCCTTGTACCTTAGGTTGTGTAAAGGCATGAGTAACACACTGCTGACACTTTCTGGAACAGAAAAATACTGTGTCGTAGATCCCTTGATGGGATTTGCTGTGTCTTGGTTACAGGGATGTGAATACCACCATCATGGAGCTCCTGATCATGGTGTATGCATGTAAGACCTCTTGTGCCAAGAGCATCATTGGCGTGATACCCTACTTTCCTTACAGCAAGCAGTGCAAGATGAGAAAAAGAGGCTCCATTGTCTCTAAATTGCTGGCTTCCATGATGTGCAAAGCTGGTAAGAATGGCAGATGTTTCACAATTAATTGGGGGCCTGGGAGTTTTATTTATTCTCTCGTTTTTTAAGACAGGGTCTTGCTCTGTCACCGAGGTTGGAGTGCAGTGGCGTGATCATAGCTCACTGCAGCTTGAACTCCTGGGGTTAAGCAGTTCACCTCAGTCTCCCAAGTAGCTAGGACTGTAGGTGCGCACCACTCTGCCTGCTAATTTTTAATTTTTTTGTACAGATGAGGTCTCACTATGTTGTCCAGGCTGGTTTTGAACTGCTGGCCTTAAGGGATCCTTCTGCGACAGTCTCACAAAGTGCTGAGATTATAGTCATGAACCACCATACCCTGCTGGAGTTTTATTTTTACCTTAGAAATGTCAAAGTAATGGCTGGGCACTATGGCTCATGCCTGTAATCCCAGTGCTTTAAGAAGCTATGTGGGATGAGCTTTGAACTCCTGGGCTCAAGTGATCCTCCTGAGTAGTTGGAAACTACGGGCATATACTACTGTGCCTGCCTAGATAGGCATATTTTATAAAATACATATATTATTCTGTGTCAGGCATGTTCAGATAACATCCTAAGTATTTTTCCCGTGTTTCTAAATAAACTTCATAGTTGTTATTGTATATATGTGTTGATACGAGTGTGTGTTCTTGTATAAGTGTATATGATTTTTTAAATTTAATTTTATTTATTTATTTATTTATTTATTTTTGAGACAGAGTCTTGCTCTGTTGTCCAGTCTGGAGTGCAGTGGTATCATCTCAGCCCACTGCAACCTCTGCCTCCTGGGTTCAAGTGATTCTTGTGCCTCAGCTTCTCAAGTAGCTGGGACTTATAGGCACCTGCCACCACATCCAGCTAATTTTTATATTTTTAGTAGGGATAGGGTTTTGTCGTGTTGTCCAGGCTGGTCTCAAACTCCTGACTTCAAGTGATCCATCTGCTTTGGCTTCCTAAAGTGCTGGGATTATAGATGTGAGCCACTGTGCCCAGCCTGAATGTATATGATTTTAGAAGGTATGTATTACAGAGCATTTACACAGAGAGAATAGAATAAAAGTCCCTATATCACTGCATTTTAACACAGGTACTTATTGTAGAATAAACTTTTCCTTTAGCTGGCATGGTGGCGCGTGCTTGTAATCCCAGCTACTCAGGAGGCTGAGGCAGGAGAATTGCCTGAACCCAGGAGGCGGAGGTTGCGGTGAGCCGAGATCGCGCCATTGCACTCCAGCCTGGGTAACAAGAGCGAAA